TCGAAGATCTCTCCCCTGCCCTTTTCCTTTTTGGAACTTTTGCAAATAGGAATAAGAAAAGAGTCCCAGGATGAAGTAGCAAAAAATCCAAACCCATTGCCGTCAAGTTAATTTTGACTCATAGCGACCCTATAGGACAGAGTAGAACTGCTCCATAGGGTTTTCAAGGCTGTAATCTTTATGGACGCAGACTGCCACATCTTTCTCCCACAGGATGAAGTAACAAGTATACAAAATAATAGAGAGTACCTGGAGGAGGCTTAGAGGTATGTTTAATCAGAGTGAGGACAGCCAAGTGTGAAATAGGAAATGAAAAGAAAGTAGCAGAGAACATTGTGAGGATAAACAGTTTAAACTGGATGCCGGTTAATGGGAAACAAAGCACAGACTTGGAAGGAACAGTGCAGATATAGAACAAATGAAAAAATATTTGGTCTGAACACTTTAAACAAAATAAAGAGGGAAAGAGGCTAACGGTGGAAAGTCAGATATTAAATATTGAAGAAAACACCATTAATTTAAGTTATTAAGGTCTGGCAAAGCTTCAGTGAATACAGACTTTGATTTCTGGATATTCAGAATTACTGAGAAGAGTCCTGATTTTTGTCCAAGGGGAGGACAACCTTAGATTAGAAAGTAAGGTGAACCGGCAGAGCTGGTTCTGGGAGGTCTTAGAAGTCTAGGTATTGGTCAAGGTGGCTCCTGCTGGAAATATGCAGCTTCCTCAAACTGCAGAAAGTCTGCCTTTCTCTTTTTTACATGAGGACTCTCAGATGAGTAGTAAAAGAGAAAGTCTTTTCCACTTTATGGAGGTGGATCATGAAGCCCTTTTTACTCTAGGAATTATAAACCTTCCCTTGGATTGTATTCCCCTTTTTTCTGCTGTGGAGGATCAACATTCCCAGAAAGTCATTTTAGTCCCTGGGGGCAACTACATTTCAGAAACAGGAAGGAATGAACTGGACTGCCCAGCCTGAGTTGCAGGTGAAGAAGTGCTTTCCCGGAGAGTGATTCTCAAAATATTCTTTCCCTTTCTTGGTATCTCTATCTTGAGTCCATGTGACCACGTGACACTGGAGAGCCCTGGCATTTCCCCAGGGCAGAGGTGCCAGCTGGTGTTAATGTGTTTGATTTAGACACTCCTGGCTTCCCGCTGCTGAGGCCCAGAATTTAACCTAAAGTAACCCTTAGTCAGGGCAGGGCAGGGCAGGTTACTGGGATATGAGTCAACTGTCATAGCTTCTACTTCTTTTTTACTTTTAAAGGTACAGGTCATAGATAGGGTACCTGACCTCGGAGATAAATCCCAGGAGGAGCAGGGGACTTTGAATCTCAGCCAGAAAAACTCCCAGACACAGTGCAATCAGATTCACTTCACTTTTATTATGAACAAACACAATCTCAGATCAGTACAACTAGCTTCAGAGTTGATATTAATAGAAATTATTCCAAAATTATCTTAGGTCACAAATAACTACTATCCCACATAAAAAAGGAAAAATCCCATCCAGTCAAGGAAAGGTTTCTTGTGTATGTTTCCATAGCAATGAGTTTATGCACTCTCAAACTTTGTCTGGCTAGTCATCCACTCATTCAGTCCCTTGGAGAAAACCAGAGACTAATGATACCATTCAGGACATGGACATGTTAAGTTCATGGTGGATACTGCTGCTATAAAAATACTCAGGACTTAAGAGAATTCCTCTGCTAAAAGATCCCAAAATGCTTTATAAAAAGCATTAGTCATTCCTCAAAACTGCCCTTTGAGGTAGGTCAGTATTATTATCCCCATTTTAACAGAAGGAAAACTGAGGCACATTGTAGTTAAGTGACTTGCCCAGGGTCACATAGGAAGTCAGTGGCACAGTGGTAGGAGAGGTCCTGGCCTTAACTACCAGCATAACATTGCCACATTGATTTCTTCAACCTCTCACGCTGACCCATTCGAGTTACACTTGCAGAGGATACTCTCAGGATACTAGCAAACCAAGGAGAAAATTTTTCATTTTAAATGCTACAGCCGTCTTTTAATCTAAAAAATTATAAATCAAATACATTCAAATTACTTCCACCCTCTATCAAATGTGGGCACTCAATAGAACAGCCCTAAGAAAAGTTTCCAGAATGAAGCCCGGAAGGGAATCCTGCAAATAGCTGTACTGAAAATTCTCCAGGCAGGCCCCTTCTTCCACCAGCTACTTCTGTAGGCTGTCAGGTGCAAAGGTCCTCCACAGAGGAAGTAAGGGGGAGGAGCAGAGGGCAGGCTCATATGCAACACTGATTAGAAAAGATGTAAGGCACCCAAATAAGTTGTTAGCATACCCACAAAGCAAGGACTGTTAGAAATTCAGACTCTTGATCAGATCTGAGTTTCTGGATCATTAATGTGTTACTTGAATTGACCTTTTAGAATCTTGAAAAAAGTGTTCCTTGCTCAGCAGATACACACCCACCTACACACCCCCATATACACTGGGCCCCTCAGCCTGAGGAACTCAGTCCAGCCTTGTGTAGGGTTATGGTATGGATCAGATCCATGGAACACAATTAGAAGAGAAAGTTGTTTTTATTTTTCTTATACTCTAAAGCAGGCACCTGATGATCTGTGGAATTGAAACCACCCAATAGATTTCCAAGGGGTAGGTGCACATAGGCTAGCAGATATAAACTAGTGATCTTCCATTCAGTTTTTTCCTATTGAGATGATCAGCTCAAAAGAGAAGGATGCCGGTAGTGTAGACTAACCCCCTGTAGCCTCTATTCAATTAATGCAAGAAGAAAGGCTGTCTTCTCTTCCACCATCGGGGCTTAACAGTAGGCAGAGTATTTGGTGTTGTACAATTGCAATCTTAGAGTAAAAAGTCAAGTTTCTGCGTTAACTACTGAGGTACAGGGACAGGAGTGTTCCAAAGTTTTGTTAGTTTCATACATCTTCTATGCTATTGTCTGCCCTAGGCTGTGTTGTGGGGAATGCTGGTTTGCTTAAGAGTCTGTTCAGCAAATTTCATGATATCAGATCCCAAGTCCCCGTGAAAGCTTTACAGTACACCTTGGTTCGAGGGAACAGGGCCTCCTTTCGAAGTAAGGCACTTTGGAACTTGCCTTTGCTTCTTGCATATCCCCAGTGAAGACGAGGCTCCCTTCTACTTCCACAAGCATTGCACTGTCAGCTGGGGGCACTGACTCAGACTGGGCAGACTTGCTGAGCAAGCAGGGGGCATCCAACCTGCTCTCTGGTTCTGACCCAGACACAGGAGACAGAAAACAAACCCTCTTTTCCTCTGTGGCTGGCTCACTGGCACAGCACGGGCATTTGGCTTGGTTGTGTCTCATGAGAGAGCCTCTCTGAGCTAAGGATGTTTCTAGTACAGTTTGCCAGCCTTGTCTTGAGTCATCAGCATGGCAGGGGAATGCAGGGATGTAAGGTGGAGACACTCTGGAGGCCAAATGAAAGTAGCAGCTAGCTACTTTATATACAGAGAAACAGTGGTTCAGTGACCCTGAGCATTTCTGTCTGCAGGAGAGGGAACTGCCTGGACAGCAAGAGCCATCACTACCTCTGGATCAACACAAAGGAAGCTGCCTGTCCACAGAAAGAAGGCAGTGTCAGGGAAGAGAAAGAACCGGTAGGACAAGGGACAGAAAGGGAAAAGCCAGGAATCAAGAATCAGAGGGATTCCTGCCTCGTCCCCCAGGCAGTTCTATACACTAGGCTAGATGTTAACAGAGCAAGGAATGAGCAAAAGGGGGTGACACTGGGGAGAAAGTTTTACCCATTCCAAGGAGAAATCAAATTAATGGATTTTATTTGCTCGTATAACCATTTTTCAAATCAGGACGCCCAACAGCATAGTCAGTAACCTTCTGAATCCCCTGGCAATGTGTTCTTAGAGGCTTTCCTTTGTAAAGTTATCTCTCAGGAACTGCCTATACACTCTGCCCCTTAAACCCTCCATCCTCTGCCCAGCAGCAAGGGGGAAATAGACAACTCCTTCAAAGTTTCGTTAAGCATCCCTCTTTCAGGGATCCCTCTAAGTGAAATATTTTAGCGTTCCAAGCAAAGTGTATATATTTGTATATAAAATGTTGGACCCAACTCCACCTCCTAAAACCCTTTGTTCGGATGTCTGGAAATGCTGCAGCCATCTCGAAACTATGAGAAGAGCTGACCAATATTCTGAGATGGCAGAGCAGAAAGATGAAAGAACTTTGATGATTCTGTGAGCTGCCAGACTCGCTAATTCTGGAGACATTCAACCTCAAGACTTCTTGTTATATGAAATAAGAAATCTCCCTGTTATGTAAGAAAAGAAAAGAAAAGAAAAAAAAAAAAACACCTTCCCCAACAGAGACCAATTTTATTGCAAATCAAATGCTTCTTCATTATCCCCAGCCTAAACAATATTGAAACCTTGACATTTGGTTTTGTGTTCTAGCATTGCCAAGCTCCGTGGCCATTCCCTATTCAGAGTCAGGAGAGAAAGGAAGCATGCTATGTGGTGGCGCTTGAAGTCCTCACTAGATAGGCAGTTATAGATATGAGCGTGGCAGGAGCTTCCTCTTGCCTTGTTTCTCACCCTACTCCCATCCTTATTTACTGATCATGCTATGCATGCTCACTCTCTCTCCTGACAATCTACCTGCTTAGAAAAGCCTTGTGCCAAATAATTTTCTATTCCAACTAGCAAAAGCGTGAGCTGAAGATAATCAACAGGGGCATTCTCAGAAAATTTTGCTGTATTTCTAGCTTGAGCCACCTCCCCTGACAGCTCAAGGAAAGAGAGTTATCTGGGGCAAAGGCCACTAGTGTTACACTACAGAAAGGTTGTCTAGGCTTTGGAAATTTGACATCCACCAAAGACTGACCAGCTGCTTGCCTGGGAGGCAATGAGGGGGAAGAGAAAGGAAGGTGATAGGAACAAAGCAAAGAGAGGGACAATGGAACTAGAAGGTAAGAGAAGAAATAAGAATATCAGCTTAGCATCATAAAGGCAGAGTTGTTGGCTTTCAATACTTTTGCATTTTTAAAAGAATACTGTACTGGAATAGGTTAATGTCATCATCTTTAGCATCCTGTTAGCATTATTCAGTAGTTAATAAACAGAACATTAAACCTCTGCCCCACTGGCTTTTGAAAAAGAACCTGAGGAACTCAAACTCAGCCACTCTTGTAGCTTCCATCTCCAGTTCTCTTAATCCTGGCCTGGATGGCAGCCTTGGACACTTTCTTCCGGTCATAAGCCAGACCGAGGGCAGCCATGCAGTCGATGAAGAAGGTGGTGAAGTTGACGTGCCAACGGTACTCGCTGGTGGAGTAGTCGTAGGGAAAGGAGTGGTGGTAGTTGTGGAAGCCCTCACCTGGAACAAAAGCAAAGAGAAGTTATGGAGCTCTACTGAAGACTGCTGTCTTCCAGATCTTTGCACACCTGTTACCTAGCAGAGTACCTCAAACCTGGTGGAAGCTCTGTTGTTGAATGAATGAGTGCTTGCAGCCTTTTCTACTCTAAACCAGATAGATCTCCTCATACACATCAAAAGAAATGTTTGGAGAAACACTGGATCTGGGAAACCATGGCTATCCGGGAGCCTTTGTAGGAGGAGGACTGGTAGTTTCTCTCAAGAGATTGCAAAATGGCTGGAGAGAAACTGTCATTGTTTCGAACAGATTTTAGACTGGGAAATTCCAGAGCTTCGCTAAGTATTGGTCTGGGACCCTGAGGGCTCTGTGTATATGGGCATGTGTTAGGGTGGGGAGTGGAGACAGTTCAGAATGAAGAACTTCTGCTGTGTTTCTCACAAAGGTGAGCAAAGGAGCACACCTTTCCCCCACTGTCCTTATATTATTACCCCTGAGGGCTGGAGGTACCAACACAACATGTGGCAATAGCGCAAAGCCAGAAGAAAGGAGGCCCAGCCCAGGGGCCTGAGTTTCCTCAGCCACTGCTGGTTCAGAGCGGGCTGCTCTAGTTCCTAATTCTTTGAGCTTTGACTCTGATGAATGAGTGATGCTGACAAGGCAGAAGCTTTCTGAGGGAAGAGTCAAAATGGTTATATGTTCCCTCTAACCCCTGGGATTCTACGAACTATTGGAATAGGCAGTTCATTTTGCTGGATGGAGGAAAACAATGAAATTCTGGATTCAGGATAATTTCTGTAATGGGCAAAGCTTTGGAAACTCTACAAAGAGTTTGCCAACCTTGGTAAGATTCTTCTTTCTAACCTCATTCAACAATACTGACCTTTATCACAGGCCAGGAATAAAGAATGGCTAATAAAAGAGCTTGTTGGACCCTTTGAAGAAAAAAGTACCCCAGGTAGAGTAGTAATGATATTAATAATAAGCAAGTGAAGGAAGTCCTGCAAAGTAAATGACACCACTCAGGACGTCAAACCAAACCTATTGCCATCAAATCAAATTCTGACTCATAGCGACCCTAGTAGTACAAAGCAGAACTGCCCCGTAGGGTTTTCAAGGCTGTAAAACTTTACGGAAGCAGACTCGCCACATCTTTTTCCGGCAGAGCAGCTGGTGGGTTCCGACCGCCAATCTTTTGGTTTGCAACCAAGCACTTAACCACTGTGCAACCAGGGCTCCTCATCGAGTACATTAAACCCCCATTGTCATCGAGTCAATCCCGATCCATAGCAACCCTACAGGACAGAGTAGAACTGCCCCGTAGAGGTTCCAAGGAGCACCTGGTGGATTTAAACTGCTGACCTTTTGGTTAGCAGCCTAACTCTTAACCACTAAGCCACCAGGGTTTCCATCCAGTACATTACAAGGCATATATTCCCTCTGTGACATCTGATTATCCACAGTGTGAACTGAGTATGAGGGTGGGTTAAGCCCAAGGCTAAAGATACCAGAGAGTATTACCAATTTCCATAAATGGTTTTCCAGCTAGGCTCTGTATTACCACTAAACAGGCCTAAACTTACCAGATTTAAAACTGAATCAGAGGCACACAAAGATAAGGGAGAAAAAAAAAAAAAAAGGAGGGCCAGAAGATGCTAGAAGAACAAAGCTTTGCAATTGGGGCAGCAAGAGACAGCCCAAGAAAGGCTCAAGGGAGGAGGTAAGCTTTGGCAGAGAGAAGAAGAGCATGTGACTGTGGGGGAAAACGCAAAAAAGATTAGCATGTCAGGAAACAGAGCTGGAGGGGAACGAAGGGTGAGGTGATAAGGGAGGAGAGCAGTTACTAGGACGGCAGGTATGGAGACTTGAATGATAACTGAAACAAAGTAAGAGGCAACTGGTAGTTATGGAGAGGCTAGAGCTGGGGAAGCTCATTATAGACTCCTTTGCAACACTGGACAAATCTTCATTCCAGCAAATCCCGTTTCTATGAAAATCTCAGACTTGTACAGCCTAGGTAATTTATTTCAAACATGGTTCAAAGCAAGAGATAGGAAAAAATGCCTTTAGTCAAGAGAGTAAAGATGGTCAGTGTTGAGAACATGAAGGAAGATTTTCAACACAGAAAAAATGTGTTAGGCCATGGTGTGCATAAATATGTGGAACGGGGTGGTGCCTAGGGAATATTGGATGGCCAGTAGCACTGATCACTGGTGAGGAAGAGGAGCCCACTGGTCTGCTTAAGGAAAATGAATTAGAGGCCTTCGTCAGGGTACATAATTCAGCTGGACAGAGTAATAGACAGAAAATGGAGATGGAAGGTAGAGCCCTGTTGTCTTAGACCCTGGCTGGCAGTTGAGACTGGAATTAAAAAGAGAAATAAGTTCATAAATTAGATCAAGGAGCAGGAACTTGTGGTCGAACTGTTTCCTAGCGGGATTCGTTAGCCATGTTAGGGGAGGGGGTGTCCCTGGCACAGAATAAAAGTAGAAGAGAGAGAAAAAGGACAAGACAAGAGTGGTAGGTGGTGGTGGTAAAGGCCACCAACAGTTGCCCTGATGCCCTTCGTGTTGGCACAATGAGCAATGATATGACTTGTCTGGATATAGTGGAGAGATAAAAAAGAAAAGTTTATTGAACTAAGCTGTAATTATTTATTCAACATTTTTTACAGCATGTTTAAATATAAAACAGGAGGCCTACAGGCCAGCCAGATGCCCCTATTGTTCCATTTATGCATTCCCTGCCTCAGGCAAGGTTATAGTCCAGCCCAGAGGTGACTGGAAAATGGAAAACTCCAAGGGACTTATACATAGTACCTGGAGATTGTTTTGGAACCTGGAATCAAAGGAATTGTCATTTTTTTATCCCTTCCTCTGTATATAAGACTTTTTGCCTGATTCTCATAAAGGTTTTCTGATATATTGGCCCCGAAAATCAGCCCACAAAAACCCTATGGATCACAACTGTCCGACTCACAGTCGATCATGGCGATGGCTCAGGACCAGGCAGCATTTCATTCTATCGTGTGCGGGTCGCCACGAGTCGGGCTAACTCTACAGCAGCTAACAGCTTTATAGTGGAAAAACTGAGAGATGAAAATATACAAAAAGGCTAACTTGGTTTCTCTAATCAACAGACCAACTAGATCTGGTCTTGCTGTGGACTGCTGACTTACCTACAGCTCCCAATGAAACCAGGATATTCTCTCGGGGGCTAATGTTCTTATCATAAGGGCGATAGCCGTAGAGGTGGGCAGCACTGTTCACCAGCCAGGTGACATTGAGCACCATGGTGTAACGCAGGAGAGTGGCAAGAAACAAGCTGTGTTGAAAAGTTTCACCCCAGAAATACCATGGCACAAGGGTGGGCACGATGAAGCACATCAACAGGATAGCGGGTTTGTAGTATCTACATGGAGAGATAGTACATTAAGTCAGCGGAGAGAAGACTCTCAGACCTACCTGGATTTCCCACAATCATTGGGCTGGCCTTTCTGTTTCCTCCTACATGAGTAGTGTGTCAGAAAACAGAGCAAGAGGGGACGGGTGGGAAATCTTTTGAGAATGTCTTGTTATTCTCTCACTTTTTGGATGAGGTCACGGGGAGGGGTTAAGTGACTTTCTAGGATCATACCACTAGGAACTAGTGGAGCAAGGATTGGAATATTCCTCTTCTGACTCTAAATCCATTGCTCTTTTTTACTACAGCATAATGCCACACTGGTAAAATAGGTGAGGTCCAAATTTAAAACTAATAAACTGAGCTCTCCTTCCCAGGCTGGTTTTCCATTCTGCTTTTGGGCTCCTTTCTCTTGCCCATCAGCGCTCTTTTACAGAGTCTGTGTTTAGTGTCGTGCCTCCTATTTCCTGCTAGCTACCCTCTAATCCTTTGCTCTTCTTTTCCTCAGAGAGGCACACTAAGTATCCTTGACCGCTTGTAGATCTCTGTCCCTCTGGAGGCCCTGTCCGATTCTTCTCTCATATGTAGACCAGGCCATTGACATTCTAAGAGAATTGACTTCCTACTTCCCTTCAGCAGTCAAGTCTTACACTTTTATGTCCCAAGCATCCAACCCCTTTCCATTCCTACCACTTCATCCCTGGCATGGCTCCTCATTACCTGTTAACTTGTAGTTACTTCCTAATTTGTATTCCTGCCTCTCATCTCTTTGGCTCAGTGGCTCCTTTCACCTGTTCTCGGAGTGAACTTTCTAAAGCACATTTTTGACTATGTCACATTCCTGCTCAAAAAAAACTATAAATAGCTTCCTATTGCCTATTGAATTAAATCCTGGATTAAAAAAAAAAAAGAAAATCCTACAAGAATGGCATCAGCCTCTCTTTCCAGTCTTATTTCTTACCACACCCTATACTTCAAGCAAAAGGACTATCCCTGAAACATGCTTCATGCATTAGTTCAGTATGTTCTGTTTGCACTGCCTGCCCCCCCATGCTACCCCCGAACTATCAAAATCCCTACCCATCCAGCAGACTTGATCCAGTGCTACTCTTCTCAAAAATCCTTCCCTGATGTTTCTCACTCCTCCCCTTTGTGCCTCTCCTGGTACAGAGTATATTCTACCTTGTATCATGGTTCTTCGGGTACTTGGTTTATCCTCTCACACCTCAACAGTCTACAGACTCCTTGAGGGTAAAGTCTATGCCATATTCATCTTTGTATCCATGGCTGTTCAAGGTCAATAAACATTTGTTGAATTTAATTGATTTAATTAAGATAGCTCAGAGAGAAAGGAACAGAGCAAGTCTATGGCTGTAAGCCTGTGGAACATTAAAAGTTGGAGTTTTCAATTATGATTTTATACATGCAAACCCAGTAATTTCTCAGCTTATGTTTCATAAATCCTAGGAGAAAAGGGGGGCTCCCAAACGCCAGGTGCTCAGGCCATATCCCCAGCTCCGTAATCACTTCACTCACTTCCTCTGGAACATCACCACCTTCTCAGCTTTTAGGTCAGACAAGTCCAGCAAACTGCCCTTCTCTTTGACAGCTGGGTGTTTGCGCACAAGCAGCCAACCCACGTGAGAGAAGAAAAAGCCACGTCGGGAATTGTGAGGATCAGCATCCGTTTCAGAAAACTTGTGGTGGGCACGGTGGTCTCGGGCCCATTCATAAACATCGTTCTGGAGGGACAGAGAAGAGAAATGTAGGCTTGAGGGCAGACACCCTCTTAGGGGAATTCCCACGGCTCTCAGCCCAACTGCTCCAAATACCCAGGAGTCTGGCCTCCAAAGGAGGGAGCCATGGAGTTGTCTCCTCTTCTCCCAACTTGGTACTGAAGGGGAGAAGCAACTTAAAAGTCTCCAGACTACATGGATAGGACTGGCTGCTTCTTGAAGATTCTATGGTGGTTGGATTGGAGATCATACAGAGCTCAGATAGTTCTAAGGTTGAGGGATGAGGCTGCAGAGAGCTCCATTCTGATGTCCTTGGCAAGAGACTGCTCATATAACCCACTAACAAGGCCGGGCATGTAAGTCAAGATCATGACCCATTTCCAAATGACCTGCGGGTTTCTCTGGGACTCTTATCTCTTAAAGAATGTGCCAGTATCTTCCATTTCTTCCTTTTGCCTCACAGGGACACTGTCAGGAACCTTTAAGGTATGATATGCTACATCAGAGATATTATGCAGCTGTGGGAAGTACCTGGGATATGCATGGTGAAGAGGATTGGTTTCCTTTTTTTCATCTCTTGCTCCAAGCTAAGCCCCACACCACATGCTATCCTTTGCCCATTGCTACCACTTAATAGCTATCTTATGAGAATCCCCTTTCCCAAATTCCCTTCATTCTATCTTTGCTATAAAACTTTCTCCTCAACACTTGACTCAGCCAGCCGAACAGCCCAGGATAGGACCAAAATTGGTCTTCTGACCTCTCAGTGACTCAGTTTCCTCATCTGTAAAATGAGGATGATAATAACAGTATCTCCCTCTTAAAACTGTTGTGAAGATTTAATGAGGTATTCTATGCCAAGTGCTTAGAACAATGCTGGGCACACAGTGCTATAAAAGTATTATCTAGAAACAACAGAGTTTGTAAATCTGTGAAACACAAAGTTTAATCCCACTGTGGTGAGGTCCTAAAATATTCCCCTAGAATAGTCACTTATTATCCAATATCTGCCCAGGGAGTCAGGGCAGAGAAAGCTGGGCTCAGTCCCTGGCTTATGCATTGCGGCCCCTTATGAAGAAGGACCACAACAGCCAGACTGTGTGATAACACAGGGACCACATATTCAAAAAAAATCCTATGTCTACAGAGTATTTCCTGTTTACCTCCTTGTCATGGATTGAATTGTGTCCCCCAGAAATATCTGTCAGCTTGGCTGGGTCATGATTTCCAATATTGTATGATTGTGTAATCTGATGTGATTTCCTTATGTGTTGTAAACTCTATCACTATGATAAGATTATATGTGATCTCCTTATGTATTGTAAATTCTATCACTGTGATGAGGTTATACTGATGAGGTTTACAAGATTAGATAGTGGCTTAATGCAATCTCTTTTGAGATATAAAAGATAGAAATGAGCAGAGACACATGGGAACCTCACACCACCAAGAAAGCATGCCGGGAGCAGAGCGTGTCCTTTGGACCTGAGGTTCCTGCACAGAGTCGCTCCCAGACCAAAGGAAGATTGATGACACGGACTTTCCTCCAGAGCTGAGAAAGAAAGTGTTCCCCTGGAGCTGACGCCCTGAATTTGGACTTGTAGCCTACTGGACTGTGAGAGAATAAATTTCTCTTTGCTAAATCCATCCACTTGTGGTATTTCTGTTATAGCAGCACTAGATGACTGAGACACTCCTATTTCTCTTTTCCTGTGCTTTATGGACTTAAGGACCGAGTTTGCACTTGAGATGACTACAAGGAGAGAGGGAAAAAAGTGAAATGGCTGCCCAGGTGTTGCTCCTCTCCAGGCACCATCCCCTCTGTTCTGCCCCTAAAGATCATCAATAGAGTCGAGAAAGGAAAGCTGAGCTGAGCAGGCTTCTTACCTGGAACGCCATCGTGTTGCAAATGATCAGGAAGACACGCAGAGGCAGCCGAGCTTTGTAAGTTCGGTGGCTCCACAGGCGATGAGCTCCTGCTGTTATGCCCAGGGCACTCATCATATAGTAGAAAAACACTGCCAAGAGAAGACAGTGGGGGTGTTGTCACTAACTGGAGTGAGTTCCACCTGGGAAAGCCCATCACAGGATATTCATTCCCCTGATGCTAGAGTCTGTCTTCTTTAGGCTTCAGGTGAGGACCTGCTTTGCCTTGAACTCTAGGGATATCTTGGTCTCTCAGATTTTACCACTTAAAATATACCACCATCACCACCCCCTCCACCCCCATCCTCTCAGCCTAGGAATTGAGATAAGGAGTAGTACAGCAGTCCCAGGAACTTTAGGAAGGCAGGGGAGAGAATGGGGTTCTCATTATGCAGCCGTTTGTCATTCTGAGTCTGGTGGGACACTTATCATCTGTCCTACCTCCTTTGACCTTCCACTAACCTTCTCCAAGGTTTTAAGAACCACAAGCTACTCCTGCAGAGCTTAGGATCCATAAGCAAGGGTGATATTAAAATTTTAATAGCCAGTGTGGCTTGGGCACTGACCAGTCAGGGCACTGGAGGCTCTCTACTGGGCCAGGCATTACTAATTGCTGAGTTGTGGGTGGTTGGTAGGTCCTAGGGGAGGGCCTGTATGGTAGGAGGCACTCAGGGGACTCAGAACTATGACTATTTACCAACTGGTACAAAAGCATTTAAATTTTTAGCAGGCAGTATGGCCACACTAGGGAAAAATCAGCCCTGTACATAAGTCGTATCTGCAGTGTCTTAAGCTTTACCAATAATTTTCATACTCTAATTAAATTCATTGGATACCTTGAATAGGTTAGTAGTATTAATATCCTTACTTTGCAGTTGAAGAAATAGATGCTCAGAGAGATGAAATGTTTATCTGCGGTCCCATGGCTATTGAGAAATGGAGCCATGGTTTGAATCTAGGTTTCCTGTCAACAAGCAGTTCATGTTTTTGTTACACCTCCCAAGATATGTACACAGTTCCTGTGTCTCTCTGCAACATCCCTCTGTCAGCTCGTATTCCTCTGGACAAGGCTCTTTCTAGACACTGGCGAGATGTACTCAAAGCTGTCAATGGGGCACCCTAACATTGTACAGCCCCATCTTCCCGGAGGCTCAGGGGGTGCCAGGTATAATCTCTAACTGGGAAGTGGGTTGCTGGGGTATCCATCTTCCTGTTTAGTAGCTCTAGAAGGCAGGGGCTGAGGCCTTGGTAGAGCAGGCGAGATTAATAGCAGTGACTATTGACAATGTTTCATTCCTAGGGAAACAGCTAGAAACAATGGGCCCTCAGTGGCCACAGCATTTAGTTGCAGTTGGAGACACCACACATTGTAACAAATTGTCCCGTGTCCTTCTGCAGCCACAGACACCAGCTTCCTGAACAGCCCCCTTCTCTCCTCTATCCTACCTTCCTCCATCCTATCCTGGTCCTCCTACAGGATCCTGAGGAGAGTCATACAGCCAGAGTCTATCCCAATGACAGTTTTATCCATACTCCCTCTGAGCTGGGATTAAGGACCCAGGTGATTTCTTGTCCTCAAACCAGGTAGTGATAACTTCCCAGTTACACAAATATATGCCTTGGGACCTGGAAAAACAACAGTTGAGCCAGAGCCCCCCCCCACAGTGACCAAGGAGGTAGAAAAATGGGCATTAAAGCAGAAGCACTCAGCTCAGAAAGCACATGAGATCCCAGTATTAGTAGGGGAGTTGGGAAAAGAACCCAGGCACTCTAGTGCCTTTTTCTGTTAACACCTCTGAGCCTATCAAATAAACCCAAAAAACCAAACCCATTGCCACTGAGTTGATAGAGACTCATAATGACCCTACAGGACAGAGTAGAACTGCCCCCATTAGGGTTTCTAAAGCTGTAAATCTTTACAGGAGCAGACTGCCACATCTTTCTCCTGCAGAGCAGCTGGCAGGTCTGAACTGCTGACCTTTTGGTTAGCAGTTGAACACTTAACCACTGCACCACCAGGGCTCTTTCTGCCTATCAAACAGAGGAGCGTAAATCAGTTGGAGATGCATTCCTTCTCTCATTGATGGTTAAGCAAAATCTCATAGCTTTGGCCCTAAGAAAGGGACTACAGAGGTTTAGCCCCTTGGCCCTCAGGGTTGCCAGAGATGTCTCTTCAGCCCTACTCTAAGGCCCTTCTGAGAGGCTCCAGAATAAAAGGGACACAAGGCACGCAGATAAGGCAAGACAAGGCGAAGCCAAGCTCCTCTACTCTGTGGGTAGGAAGAGAAGATGAAACCTCTGGCCCCTTTCATCCAAAATCCCCATTACAAGATGTTCATTCCATCAGCTAAGTTACCTACCAAAGGGCCTGGGGAAAGGAAAAAAGGTCTTGCTGAAGCCCAGTCACTAGAAGCCCCACTCAAGTCACCATCCAGTCTCTGTGTGCCATGTCTCTCTATCCAAAGGCACAGCACACACCCATAGGTGGGGCTCCAAAAAGGCAGCGGGCACAGCCCTGGCTTTGGGATAGCGTTCCGCTCCCTGCTCTAGCAGCCGAGGATGAGGACCAAGCAGAGGCAGTCTGGCTACACGGGACTCCCTGAGGCCTACAGAGATGGTACTGAGTGGAGTCCTAAGGTTGGAAAGCGCCTGTAGGTGACAAAGCTACTTGTGAAGATGCCCTTCTTTGGGAAAAGGGGAAGAAAGAGGAGTCCACAGTCTCTCTGGGAAGTCCTTATCCCTGCTGTTGATTCCCCATGCTACAACTGACTAGGTTCTCAGAGGGGCTAGAGAACAGATGTCCCCCTCCCCTCACAAATTTAAGAGCCCTTCCTGGTCTGCAGATGATCTGATTTCCTGTACCTGGTCTGCTCTTATTCAGCAATAACACACCTGTAACCTAAGAAACAGTACCTTCCTAATCCTCAAAAAGTACTATTGCCCCATTTTGTACCCAGAAAAATTGAGATTTCTGAAAAAAGCGTTCTTCCAAGTTGTATTCACTTCACTATCTGTGGCACCTAGAGGACTTCAGTGAACAAATCCCGTCACCTTTAGAAAGCTAAGAGGCCACAGGGGAAACAGCTAAAACTTGGCTCTCCAGTTCTTCTATATAACCACCCTCCAAGAGTGCAGCTGCCAGCAAGCACCCCACACCTGAGACTGCTCTGGGAACGGCGGAGCTTGTTTTCTGGAGAGAGTGCTCAGGTTCACTGTTCCTCTGAAAGAAGGGCAGAAAGTAGCATTTTGGGGGCCCTGGGTCTCTGAAGCTGCCTGCTCTCCCCTTTCCAACTCAGGCTTATGGTGGCAGAGGTGAAATGCCTGCAAAGCACACACTGATGGATCCCTGAAAGAGGTGAGCTCCGGGCAGGTCAGGGACACACTGGGAACTGCTCCCGTCTCATTGCAGCAGCCTCAGGGTGCCTGGCTGTCCCTGGCAAGGGAGGAGGGTATGGGTCAGGGAGCACTGGGGTTAAGAGAGAGGGGCTGGAGCAGGGTAGATGGGGAGTGGGGCATGAAACATTTCTTCAGCCTTAGTTCATGAAGCCACTGGTCTAGTCCCATATTCCCATGCCTCTCCAGTAGGGGCTGGGACTCTTGTGGCTGGCAGGGCTGAGACAGGCAACCATGCAAATGACTCAAACTGAAGATTGCCTTTCAGGGCAAGCTGCCTCTCTGGCACAGGTCTATTCAGTTCAAAGCCCGCAGGTGGTCTCAGGGCTCCCCCACAACACCCATGTTAAAGGGGCCCCAGAACTGACACTCCTGCATCCCAATCCCCCCAGGCTGTGTTCCAGCCCACTTAGCCTCTCAGGCCACCAAAGAGAAAACAACGACAGAAGGAGCGGGTGCCCTGGCTCTGTGTAAGATCCCACCATATTAAGACAGTGGTGAGAAAACTGGGGTACTGGGTCAGGAGGAGGAGGACAAGGGCATCTGCTTACCCCAGAGCCAGGTGTAGAACTGGCCGGTGGGAAACAGTATGATCCCATACAGGGCTCCCAAATGTAGCAAAAACATAAGGATGATGTTTCTCCAGACATACTCAGTCTTGGGCCTTGGACCCTCCTTATCCTTGTAGGTTGGGTCATAGATATCATCTTTCATTTCCGGGCGGATTTCTTCCTCCAAGTGTACCAAAGTCTTCTCCAACTTGCCTCCTTCATTCTGCAGCATTTTGGAGGGAGGCGCTGTGATGGTGGTGGTGGTTGTGTAGGAGCTAGACATCTGGAAGGGAGAGGACGCAGAGAGTCAGGAGGAGAGAACCAGGAGACTACACGTGGACGCAGGAGGGACAACTTCACTCTCAAATAGAGGCAGGGGAATGGTGGAGCACCGGCATCAACCCTGCCCCATTCCCCAGGCGAACTGGGGGCGGGGTTTACCCGGAGCTGAAAGAGGGGAAAGTTCCCAGGAACTGTGCAGATAGACTGGGGGGAGAAACCTCAAGGTGAAGGGGCAATAAGGAGAAGTAAAAGACTCCCACCCCTATACACATACAAAGGAAGTCCCCACAGACATTCACAAAGGTACCGCCACGACTGGATTGTTCTTCATTTTAAAGCTAAAGAAACAAAAGCTGTTTACTTATTACAATCCACCTTCTCTATAAACTGAACAAAGTCAGTTCGCAAAAGGTGGCAAGTCCTCCTCGGAGCTCTCAACTCTCTCTCCCACCAACCAGTCACCTAGAAGTCCCAGCAGCGCCCGCGAACCCGCGGGCTGGGGGGCTATTGCTTGGAAGCTCACCTCTTCTTGCAGCAAGTGGACCGGCATGTCGGCTCTCGGATGCTGGAATCACTTTTCCAGGGCTGAGACTGCGGAGCTGAGTTCCGGTCAGCCGGCACAGAGGGTGGACTTCTGTTCCGGATCCCGCTCTTTGCGCGGCGGTGTGCGGCACTGCACTCGGAGCCCTTCTCTGCTCCTCGTGCGCTGGATCCGTGTCCGGGCCGGGTCCGCAGTGCCGAGACCTCCCGAATCTTGGAATTTAAAGGCTACAACCGGCAGTGGGTGACGATTTCCAGTATTTCCTCAGACCCCTTTTATTCGCTGCCAACAAGGGCCAAAGTGCGCGTGGCCGGCTGGCCGAGGCTGCCCCGCGTGGAGGTGCCGGAGGACTGGCGAGGGGAGGAGACAGAAAGCCGAGGCGTGCAGGGGCCAGGGCTGTATTACCGGGATGCTGCAGACACCGCCGCTGCCGCTGGGGAAATGCTAATGATGCCTCTGTAAACTCTGGCGCGTCATTGGCCAAAGGGAATTTGGTGCCACCTCGTCCTGCCATTGCCATTGGCTCGGCGCAATCTGCTGTTCCCTCTGCCGCGAGCTCCTCGCTCCCCCTCCCCTCTCTTTCTCCTTTCCCTCTCTTCCTCGGGCCGCTGGGCCTTGGCCCGGCACCCCGCGGCCTCGGAGGCGCTCGGGGGGTTTCTTTCTGGAAGAGGGAGAAGACCCGGCCGGGGGTCGGGGGGTGGGAACAAGCTCAGGACTGGCCCATGAGTACCACGGGTGGGTGGACGCTGGGAAAGTTTCGCTGGAAACAGTGGGGAAGCCACGGTTGCGACTACTACTTCCAATTCCAGCCAATCTTCTCGTTTCCAGAGAGGCACAGGAGGGGAGACGTGGCTTCAACCAGAGAATGTAAAAAGGGCTCTTGAAGCCCTGTCCCCTCAGTCTGGAGTCCCCAGGGCTGTGTCCTCTGCCGAACAATGGCTTTTCCCCGCCCACCAGCTATACTAGCTAACTAGAGACTGCATTCAACTCTGGCCCTATCTCCCTGACACACACCATTGCACAGACCTGCACTCAGATACACCTATAGGCGTACTTGCACGCGTGCCCAGTGTTCAGTCCCTGGGTACCTCAGCAAGGGACGCTCACCGTTAGGCACCAGTGAGTAATGTCATCCCTATGTCCACGTCTCCAGAACATGGGTGGGATGTTTTGGAGATTGTTTAGGTTGTCAGGTTGTTAATTTTTAAGTCTCCTTCATGGAAGAGGGCAGAGGTACAGACATGATCTCTTGCCTAGAAGCAGGTAAAGGGACTTGCATGGGGAATAAGAACAGCTAACAGCTATTGAATTGTTTTTGTTGTTAGTTGCCGTGGAGTTGGCTCCAACTCAGGACCACCCCGCGTACAACAGAAGGAAACATTGCCTGGTCCTGCGCTATCTTCACAATCATGCCCAAGTCCATTATTACTGCCCATTGTGTCTTTTGAATGCCTTCCAACCTAGGGAGCTCATCTCCCAGCACTATATCTGACAATATTCTGTTGTGATCCATGGTTTTCACTGGTTAATTTTTGGAAGTAGATTGCCAGGTCTTTCTTCCTAATCTGGCTTAGTGTGGAAGCTCCACTGAAACCTGTCCACCGTGGGTGACTCTGCTGGCATTTGAAATACCGGTGGCATAGCTTTCAGCATCATGGCAACACAAGGCACCACAGCACGACAAACTGACAGGCGGGTGGTGGATTGAATTATTACTGCAAGCCAATTCACATGAATCATCTGATTTAATCTTCACTGTGAACCTATGAGGTGAGTACTCCATTATTCCATGTTAAAGAGTCTCTTTAAGCTGAGATATGGAGAGATCAAGTAGTTTGCCTATGGCCATAGTACCCAGTAAGTGGTAGAGCTGGGATTTGAACGAAAGAAATATTGTAGTATAGCCCAAGCTCTTAATCTCTGCTTAGGACCATATTGCCCTGGGTCCCTGAGGTGCTTTGACCTCACTGACCTTGTCCCCACACCTTCTTTTCTGGGGCTGGGGGAGCCTTACCAAGAGAGTAGCTGTGGAGCTGGGCAGGCTATGCATTCTCCAGGCCTCTTTCCATATTCATGCCTCCCCAAATATTATCCCACGACCTCAGTGATTCTGCGCTGGCTCCTTATCCTTCCCTCCATGCCAATGAATGGCTTCTCAGGAAGACAGGCACTTGGGATTGCCTGGGAAGACTAAGTAGCTCCCTTGTTGGCTATTAATTTCAGGGTCAGGCCAACTCCCGAGTCAGTCACCAGATTTCTCCATTCCAGTCTTGGCTCCATGTCCAGTGTGAAAGTTCTGAATGAGACTAGGTGTTTTCAGATAAGGACAGGTCATCTAGTCAAGGTTCAGAAGTGCTCAGCGCAAAGAACAGAAGTCTATACTCATGCTGCACCCCTTCAGACTCTCTCTGCAATATCTGATTTACTTAATTCTGTACCAACTGCAGGGTTTACACTTCAAAGGAGAAGACTCAGGATTTCCTTTGGGAGGTGCCTTTTACTGTGGCTGAAACTAGCTCTGTCACTGGGACTGGCTTTCTTCTCCTTAACATTCTACCTTTGTTTCCTCCAGACCCTGGACTCCATCAGAAAACAGTCTGAAAAATCAGAGTCCCCTAGAAAGCTCACCTCTCAGTCATTTAGACTCAGGAAGATATTACTGCTGTTATTATTACTAAGTGCTAGGCCAGGTGCCATATCATTCATTTTCTTCCTAGGAAAATAAAGGAGAGGCCTGTCGAGACAAAAATGTAGAACTGGAGTATTGTATTTCTCTCTAAAGACAGGATGTTGCCCTGTAGGGAAAACTTTGGAAGTCTAGAAAAGTGTGATTAGGGAGAGGGAGCTTCAGGAACAAAAGATCAGAGCCTATTTCATGGTTGATAACTATAACAGAAATATGACCCATTCCCTAGCTTGGGCTTCCTCACTGAAGTTCATCTGGTGCATATCACATGGCTATGATTGTGTTACCCACTACTTTAAAACTGTCGGTAACTTGCTACTGCTTACAAAATAAGGCTGCATTGTAGAAGTGACATTATGGGGAAAGTGTGAGCCTTGCTTGGTATGAAGAAGTATTTCAGTGACAAATTAGAAGTTAGAAATAAGTATATGATCAATATTTGTATAGAACAGAGTTATATAATGATTAAGCTGTTAGCTATTTTAAGAAAGTACAAAATATGCTTGGTAGATGGAGATTGGAGTTATAGACATTCCTTTGTGAAAAGCGTCACAAGGTTTCTTGGCAGTTTTTAAATTTTATTTTGATTCTGTGACTCAAGAGAGCAGGAAGTAAAGCTCCCAGCTCCTTGAGACAGGGACCCTATTGCCTTCTTTCGTTTGTTTCATGGTTTAGGCTCTGAGCTAATTAGTAAGAGTAAGCTACTTTGAGATATTTTAACTTCACTGACCTGTCCCTCAAGCCCTTTGGCTCTGAGCTGATTGGCAAGAGTAAGATACTTAGAGATACTTTGACCTCATTGACCTGTCCCTCATGCTCTTTGGCTCTGAGCTGATCGATAAGAGTAAGGCAAATAACTGTGCATTTGGGTAAGGTTGATGTGGTAGAAAGAAATACTAAAAAGGCCCAGAACTGTTGTTAAAACTTGGGAAAATAAAAATCTCTTGGGCTCAAAATTAAAATTTCTCAGAAAACTAGGACTAGAAGGAAACTTTCCAAACCTGATAAACAACATTTACAAAAAGCCTACACCTAATATTGTACTTAATGGTGAAATATTAAGTCTCTTTTCCCTAAAACTGAGAACAGACAAGCATGTCTGCTGTCATTACTCCTAGTTAACATTGCACTAAAAGTCCTAGCTAGTGCAATAAGGCAAGAAAAAGAAATGAAAGGCATAAAGGTAGGAAAAGAACAAGTAAAACTCTTTATTTGTAGAAGTTGTGATTGTGTATATGGGAAATCCTATGGAATACCTCCCCCCTCCAAAAAAAAAGCCAAAACTGTTAAATGAATTTATAAAGACCATAGGATACAAAGTCAATTTAAAAAAAAAAAAATCAGTTTTAGTCTATATACTATTAAAGAACAATTGGAAAGTGAAATTTTAAAAATACTACTTGCAATAGCATAAAAATATCAACTACAAATAATCTAACAAAACACATGCAAGATCTTTATATTGAATACTACAAAGAGAAATTAAAGAAGATTTAAATAAATGGTGGTATACTATGTTCATGGATGGGAAGACTCAATGTTATCTATGGATTAATTCAATACCTATGTAAATCCATCAGGTTTCTTTGAAGAAATGAAAGGTAGTTCTAAACTTTCAATGGAAATGCAAAGAATTTAGAATAGCCAAGACAATCTGAAAAAGCACTAGGTTGGAGGAATTACAGAATTAATTATATTACAGAACTTACTAGAAAGCTAGAGTAATTAAGATAGTGTGGTGTTGATGCAGCCAATCCAATAGGAGATGTAAGTTTTTTGTTTGTTTTCTGTTTTAAACAAATTGCTGGAACAACTGACTATCCATATAAAATAAATTAATTTGACCCTATTTCACTTGATACACAAAAATAGTTTGAGAGTTATTATAGTCCTAAATATAAAACCCACAATAATAAAACTTTTATATAAAACCACAGGAAGATATTTTTGTGACACTGAGGCTGGCAAAGATTTTGGACTGGAAACAAAAAAATAATGTTGTTAGGTGCTGTCAAGTCGCTTCTGGCTCATAGTGACTCAATATAAAACAGAACGAAACACTATCCAGTCCTGCACCATCCTCACAATCTTTGCTATGTTTGAGCCCATTGTTGCAGCCACTGTGTCAATCCATCTCGTTGAGGCTCTTCTTCTTTTTCACTGACCCTCTACTTTACCGAGCATGATGTCCTTCTCCAGGGACTGATCCCTCCTGATAACATGTCCAAAGTATGTGAGACAAAGTCTCACCATTCTTGCTTCTGAGGAGCATTCTGGCTGTACTTGTTCCAAAACGGATTTGTTCATTCTTCTGGCAGTCCATGGTATATTCAATATTCTTTGCCAACACCATTATTCAAAAGCATCAATTCTTCTTTGGTCTTCCTTATTCATTGTCCAGCTT